TTGAGGAAAGGGAAAAATGGGGGAGGATAAGGTGAGGCAGATACAGGAAAATTGAAAATGGGAAAATATGATAGAAGTATTGGAATCTGAACTCCACAGAGGCAGAAGAGAATCCAACTGCTGCAAGTCCAAAAATAGGAAATGCAGATTGATGGTAAGCCAAATTATACTGACCCCCAGAACATAATTGGTCAATAAACCTATTGACATGAACCCCAATACTTGGTGGGGGCAACAAGATATTATTCAGGTTTAACCGCAAACCCAAAGCCACTATAGACAAAGGTCAACCCTCGTCAATTAGTATAGCATAAAATCATAGCTAATAATCCATATGTTAACCATACACAAGTTTAAATTCTTAATTTTATAAAGCAATATATTAAAAAATCCTGCATTTCCCATAGTGTGAGAAATGTGACATTTTTTCTCTAAGCATCGCTTCTTCTCTAATTTATTCACTACCCCTCCAATAAGTGTGAAATTTAATGTGAATTACTCACAATAATATCATCATTGCTCAGACAAAGCATAATTTTCATAGCCTTCAATCTTGTTTGGTTAAAGAGCCATCAAATAGAAAACCAGACCCCTCTTACCACACCCACCTGTCATGACCTCTCTTTTAGGATTTGTTAATATTTCTTAGATTTAATAATATATTACTTATAACAAAAAGAAAGATGACATATTACATTACACTCTTTTCTGTACAAAGAATTGTAAATTCCTCTTTCAGTACAAGCTTCACTCTCATGAGAAAAATCAACTAGCTTAGATTAATCTATAATGGATTTTTTTGCATAATCAGAAATCCAGAAAAATTGTGATAATTAAGGGACATTGTCTACTTTTTGCATGCTATTATTCTATGTTCTTTGGTGCATTATTTAATTAAATAAAAATTATTTAATGCACTATTACCATTGGTATAAAAAGTAGGGTGAAGTGTCATCAACAGCAAAAAAAAAAAAGGCCTGGGTAAGTACTTTATTTCTTGTTTTTCATGGGTATTCTTTATTTATTATTAAAGGAGTAACTAAAATTTAAAAATAGGAAACTCTTTTGATTAGTTAAGGTTAGATTGGGTTAAATAAATAATATAATAAAAAATTTTATGTGGCATGTACACAAGCAGCTTGAAGTAGCTCGTTCGTAATGTAATTCAATAGCATAATGTGAGGTGCATGGTCCTCAAGTGATTTACAACTTATAATGGTGCAAACAGTAGTTAGGCAGTTTTCAAAGGGCAATAAAACAATAAGATTTAAGTATAAATACATGTATACAGTTACGAGTTTAAAGCAACTTAAGATAAACAAATGTAGTTTCAATCTGAAATCATTCTAGAAAGAAAAAAAAGGTAATTTAGATTTATTTCAATTTTTGGGTGGTTACAAGGTTGGTCAAATTGACCAACCTTGTATAGAGTTAGGGTTGAGAAAATGACAGGTAAAATATAAAGTTTTACTGAAAAAAAAATTTTTGGAATGTATTTAGGAGGATTTAGAGATTACGCAAATGAAATTTGAGATTTTTCATATGAAAAAAAAAGTAGTTGTAATCTTAACATGAAAATCACTTTGCACTCAAATTTGTAAAAGAAAAAGACTATATACTTACAGACAAATCTTTATTAATAATGCTTCACTGAAAAATTTGATTTTTTGTATGTAAAAGACTTTTATGTTTACTGAAAGTGTGCCAAATTTTGTGAAGCTACACATAATATATTAAAAGTTAGTGGAATCGAAACTATAACACGTACAAAGTGGTCATGTGGTCGGTCAAATCAACAGAGCCCTTGTAGAGAAAGTTATCTGCAGTATGAACAGCAGTGGTAACATTAAACTCAGAATCCATGATAACTATGAGTGGAAACTCCAAATAAAATGTAAGAAAATGAATGACACACTATTAAAGTATACAAATGAAACTGGTGAAGTGTAGCAAATGTTAAAGAAACAGAAAAAACAAAGTTATAAGAAAAAAAAGATAACTGATTGAAATTTCTGTGAAGTAAAATCCTTGGAAACAGTTTGAACTTATAATTCAGGATAAAATATATTTTATATTGATATTCTTTGTTGGCCATGATTACTACTGAATTTACCTTTACCTACTTGTAAGATAATAATATAGGTTATGGATTTTAATTAAAGTCTGTATTTCAAGTTACCTTGGATGCAGTTAAGTTCCAATAAAACCACATACACATAGGTTTTATGAGAAGGAAACATTCGTTGCATAACTAAACATAAGTATGTTGAAAGAATACAAGTTTTAACTCATTTCATGAATGATGATTTTGTGTTTCTGACCAGGAGTTGGTACATTCATATGAAGGAAAGTGGGAATTAAAGAATCATTTGATAAAGTTCACATTTCAAGTTTAATACTGATCTTTTGGTAGTTTGCCCAACAATTCAAATCCATTTCTAAAACAACAGCATCCTCCATGAACTCATACTCATAGCCAACTACACCCATAATTATAATATCATTATCAACTACCTTGAACAATTTATTGCCTATGCTCCTATCAACATTGTTAACTTGCTTGTTGATAAGCAAAAAGCTACATAATTGGCTATTTGTGTAATGCCCACCATAGGTTTGAAACCAGATTTTTAGCATCTTAAATCCAGAGGGATACAACAATGCTAATGTATAAACAGTAAGCAGTACAGATCCCAGAGTTAACCAACTTTCAGCTCCAATCTAGTTTAACTGGTTTATGGAGCTGATGAATCCCCCACACCCGCAGATAATTTTCTTTAATAATGACAATAGTACTTTATGTGGCATTTTGTCAAAAGCCTACCAAGAGTTTTTGTTTCAGTAACAATTTGAACATGATTATAAAGATTGTATGATACAAGTTTTATTTACTGTTAAATTTCTGGTGAAAGACAAATTACTGTTAACAGCTTAATTTCCCTTTGATAATGATATTACTATTATAATTTTACTAAATTTTAGTACAGTAGTAGATGAATATTGAATTTGATTTTATTGAAATATAACATAACATAATGTTCTGGGACAATATGGTACCTAGTGTTCCATCTCAGCTGTTCCATACTCTAAACTAAACTAAAACTATTAATAAATAAGTTTTAAAAAAATTCTTAAAGCCAGCCATTATCAATCATATATTTATCAAGCTTTCTCTAAAACTCACTCAAATTCACTGCCTCCAAGATATCTGAAGGTAACCCATTCCACACGCCAACCACCCTGTGAGAAAAATAAAACTGTCTTAGCTGAAGATGACTCTTACCCTGCCAAAATTTATATTTGTGCCCCCTAGTCCTACTATTCTTAATGTTAAGTACAAAAAAAGATGATGCAGCAACAGTATTCAATTCCCTTTAACTCCCCGTAACTCTTCTTTTTTCAGAATAAAACAATTTGAGAGATTTCAACCTCTACTCATATGACAACCCCTCCAAATCAGGCACCATTCTAGTAACCCTTCTCTGAAACCTTCCCAACAATTCAATGTCTTTCCTTAGGTAAGGAGTCCAAGACTGAACACAATATTCCAAATGTGCCCTAATCAGTGATCTATACAATGAAATTACAACCTCTTTTAGACTTGTATTCAACATTTCTGTAGTTACAACCTAAAATCCTATTTGTCCTCCCACTAGCAATAGCACACTGCTTGAATGGCTTTAGAGACTGATTAACTATCACGCCAAGATCCCTTTCTTTCACAACACTGTCAAGGTTATTTCCATCCAAATTATACTTGTAATTCAAGTTATGATAATACACATGCATTATCTTGCATTTATTATAATTAAAACCCTATTTT